TAATCGGAGAGGGGAACGGGAGAGCGTGACAGAGCTTTTGCCTCTTTAAACAGCAATGAAGAGAGCTCCTCTACCTCTTATAAAGGAATGCGACACGAGAAAGTTCCCTTTCCACTTATATTAATGGGAAAGGAATGAGAAACGATTCTGGACCTCGGAATTCCTCTACATGGTCTCTGCTTTGTAGCTCCTCTACTTCCTAGTAGTTACTAAATGAAAAAGCTCCTTCTCCGTCTAACTTAAAACATTAAGATTTCCTCCAGCTGTTAACATGTTAACATAGGCAATGTATTTCCCACTGAAAGAAGCATGACAAACCCCTCCCTTACCCAGTAAGAATGAAGACATAAAGCCAAACGCCCCTTTACCTTGTAACCGGCTAAGGAATGGGAGAGCGTGACAGAGCTTTTGCCTCCTTAAACGGGAACGAAGAGAACGCCTCTACCTCAAAGGAATGAGATACTCTTCTCTGATTATGCCATGAGAAAGTTCCTTTTCTTTTAATGGGAAAGGACAGAGAAGTGACTCTAGAATCTAGAAACTCGGAATTCCCCTACCTTGTATATAGCTCCTCCACTTCTTGGTATTCAACGGAAGTTTAACTAGATTTTGTCCGTCTTCTATTCGGAGAAATCACGAGAAAACACAATGGCCACACTCTGGTGTGATCTACTCGCTGCCTTTTTACAAAAGGAGGCACGTAGATCGCACCAGACGTCCGTCCTCTGTTTGGAGAAATCACGAGAAAACGCGACTGCAAAAATCTCGCGCGACCGACTCACTGCCTTTTCTACAAAAGCAGAAGCATTTAAACCTTTGCAAGCCATTATAACTATTACATATGTAAACTTCAACAGTTCAACCCGTGTTTTTTTTGAGAGAAAGGCAGTAACCACAGAATTGACGAGATTTCGGGCCTAGGGTAATGGACGGAAGGTTTCTACAAAGAAAGGGTCTAACCGAGTCTAACCACAGAACTTGACGAATTTGGTGTGTAGGGTTTAGCCGAAGGTTTTTGAAGAGAAAGGGTCTAACCGACGCGCTTTTCTATACCGTATTGTTTTTACAAAACCCACAGAAGCTACCTGAAACTAAATTGCACAACGTTCGTTTCGGTTGCTTCTTTATGTTTGCTGTCTTTGTTGAATAAGTTGTTCTTTCCGTAGACCTTGCGCTATTTCTCTTTTCTCAATGCATTTTGTTTTGTTGTTGCAGAACCACAAACTCTAATCGAAACTAAGTTGATCAACTTCAATTCCTTTTTCTCTGAAAAAATGGTGTTTTCAATAGCCTTGTGCTGCTGTTCAATGCGTTTTGTTTTGTTATTGTAGTATGAGCCACAGAATTCAATCAAAAGTCATGTGTCTAGGTCATGTGAAAGCTCTTTTATCTCTGTGTAGGTAATGAATGCCCTTGCCTCTTCTGAAAAGGGGTCCTCCAAGGGAATGACAGAGCTCCTTATTTACACCTTATGAAAAAGCCTTTCTCCTACTTGAAGAAGTGTTTACTAGAAAGAGGTAGAGGAGATCTTCCATTTCCTCGAGAGACAGATCTTTCATTGAAAACGAATACAGGAGGACTTTCATGTCCCAGTAGGAGAGAGAGGACATCGTTCATGTCCAGTTTTCATTTCCTATAAAGGAGAGGGGGGAGGGCCGGGGGGGGGGGGGTGGGTGGCTCAAATAGGGTTTATTTGGAAGCTAAGGCTCGGGTTTTGCCCATGGCAAAGAGAAGATGGTATTCGTCTTCATCTTTCCTATCCTTCTTGTCTTTCTTCTCTCTTGTTCGTTTCCCTTTGAAACAAAAACCCAAAGGAAGAACAATGAAAATGAAAGGAACTCGCTTTCTTTTTCCGTTTGGGAACAATGAAAAGAACCGAGGAGATAAGACGAGAGGAGGCATATGCTGAAGCATGGAGAGGGGCCACGGGCAAGCAGCTAACCCCGCTCACGTTCCCAACCATTGAAAAAGGATAAGAAAGGACAAGGGCCTCCGTTCCCCTCTTATGTTTTCCTTGTGCTTTTGTCGTTGAATAGGACGGAGAGAGAAGGAGGAGGAGAAATAGACAGGATCGCATTTTTAATGGGAAGAGCAAAGACAACAATGGAGGAGAGATGAATAAAGGATAAGGAAAGACAAAACAAGGCACAGAGAAGATGGGACTCTTCTTTATCGATCCTCTCTCCCTTATCTCTCCCTTCCCTTTTTCTTCTTGAAATAAGGAAAACAAAAAGGAAGAATTAAGAGAACAACAAAGGAGAAGGGTAAGGAAAGGAAGCCGAGAAAAGGGATATGATGAAGTATGGCAAGGTCCACGCGCAAGAAGTCACCCTCTGCTTACCTTTCCCCTGCTTTATCATACAAGTTCCTTTCTTGTTTTCTAATCAGTTAAAAGGTAATAGATGGAGAGAGGGGAAAGGGAAGTGAGAGAGTAGAGATCACAAGGATGCCTTTGTTCTGGAAGCGTACTGCAAGGAATAGAAGAGACAAGAGGCAAGGGGAGGGACGGACAAAACAAGGCGCAAGAAGATGGCATTCCTCTATATCTATCATCTCTCCCCTGTCCCTTTTGAATGAGAAAAAAACCTTTCTTGCTCTTCACAGATAGGTGTCATCCCTCCTCTTCAGGAAATCCCCTTTCCCTTATTTTGCTTTTTGAAGCGAATAAGAACAAGAACAGGTAGGAAGAGAGGAAAGGGAAATAATAAGTAAAGAGAGGAGCCCTTCAATCCCCCTCCCTGTCTCTTATGTTCTTTTCCTTCTTGGGGGGTATCGTTCTTTCTCCTTTGAAGATGCAGAAGACGATTGAAAAGGACACCCGTTCCATCGCCCCTATATATAGAGAGAGACATCATGAGCATCAGCTGGGTTTGCTGCCAATCCAAAACGGTGTCCCTTTAATCGCTTTCTGTGTGTCAAACGAGCAAAAGGGACACCCCTAAGTGCTTTCTTTTGGGATGTCTTTCTTTTTGCCTTGAAGACACAGCAAACGTAAAAAAGGACGCCTGCTTCCGTCGCGCATAGAGAGAGAGATAGAGAGAGACTGAGAATGAATGAGTGAGAGATAGAGATAGGGACAGGGAAAGAGAGCAAGATAAAGAAAGAACGAAAGAAAGAAAGATAGCGACAGGGATACAGACAGAGAGAGAGAGAGAGAGAGAGAGTTTTCTGTTCGGGGGCATCCTTTTTTCTCGCTTGAAGATGCAGAAAACGATCCAAAGGGACAGCCGTTCCATCGCCCATGGCAAAGAGAAGATGGTACCCGTCTTCATCTTTCCTATCCTTCTCCTCTTTCTTCTCTCTTGTTCGTTTCCCTTTGAAACAAAAACCCAAAGGAAGAACAATGAAAATGAAAGGAACTCGCTTTCTTTTTCCGTTTGGGAACAATCAAAAGAACCGAGGAGATAAGACGAGAGGAGGCATATGCTGAAGCATGGAGAGGGGCCACGGGCAAGCAGCCAACCCCCAACCATTGACAAAGGATAAGAAAGGCCAGGGGCCTCCATTCCCTTTGTTTTTTTCCTTTTCTTGTGTTTTTTGTCTTTGAAGAGGGAGAGAGAAGGAGGAGGAGACATAGACAGGGTTGCATTTTTAACAGGAAGAGCAAAGGCAAGAATAGAGAGATGAATAAAGGAGCAGGAAAGACAAAACAAGGCACAGAGAAGATGGGGGACTCTTCTTTATCGATCCTCTCTCCCATATCTCTCCCTTCCCTTGTTCTTTTCGAAATAAGGAAAACAAAAAGGAATTATGAAAACAGGAGAAGGGTAAGGAGAGGAACAGAAGAGATAGGCCGAGAAGAGGGATATGATGAAGTACGGCAAGGTCCACGCGCAAGGAGTCACCCTCTGCTTACCCTTCCCCTGCTTTATCATACAAGTTCCTTTCTTGTTTTTAATCAGTTAAAAGGTAATAGATGGAGAGAAGGGAAAGGGAAGTGAGAGGAGCGATCACAAGGATGCCATTTTTCTGGAAGCGTACTGCAAGGAATAGAAACAGGAAGCACA